TAAGCTTCCCCAAATACAGAACCAAGACGATTGCACACCGACGCCCAGACGGAATAGTTACAGCGTCCAGAAAAGCAATGGAAAAAATCATTCACAATTACTACTCGGTTCTCTTCAGTAACCACGTCCTCCTGCTCTCATATAAAATAAAACAAGATGGACATGTCGAACCACCCATTCTTCTTTCCGAAATCAGACATGTTGTTTCGTGAGTAAAAAATCGAACAATACCAAATCCAAACACGGTAAGATCTGAACACCTAAAGAACCGTCCACCAGTCCTCGTAAACACACTGACTTGGCTCTTCACACGCTAACTACCAGAATACAAAGTTCCTTCTCAATGGAAGTGGCCCATCGTACTGAATGCCTGCTTGCTCAGACGATAACAAGACCCAGTGAAGTGCTGGGAGAGTACAAGAGACCGCCCCGTTTTTCTCAAGAATTAAAATAAAGCTTTTGACTCAGTTGAGATAGGAAAAGTCATGAAAGTTATAAAAGCATTGGGCAGCCAAGGCATCCCTACTCACTATGTAAAGATTATTCGTGCGCTACATAAAAATTTCGCAACCAAAATATCACCATTCTACAACACGTCGAGGTCAAAAGAGAGGCCTATCGAGGTTATACCATAAAGCTAAAAAGCTCTCGGCGGCGCGGCTAAGGGAAAGGTATGATGCTCAACGAGTCCCTGGAGCGAGGAGAGCCCACTGGGCTACTTTTGCACACGAATGGGAAAACTGGAAAACTTGGGTCCGCCAGAGTCACTCGACTTCCAATGGGACAGCATCTGGTACAGGTAAGGTGGCCATTCCGAGGCATCTGAATCCATCGTTAGCCGTTGATGTATCTGTGTGATGTGTGACTTGCCCTGTTTAATACTTTTCGCTCAATTGATTCCTGTTCCTCTTTGCTAGTGCAACACCTTCCTTCCTAGAACATCATTCATAGTTTCAACCTTAGTATTTATGCTGTTTGTACACAAGTTAACCTCATCACATTGTTATCATAACCTTGCACTTATATTATAACATGTCCACCTCCTATGGACGACTGTTGTACTGGATATCACAGTTGAACGTCATATCACTCTATCAGTCTATCGCAGAGGTGCTCTGTTGCATCAAGGGTTACCTCTCGCTACCATCATGCCCTCGCATATTTTTCAGTATTGCAATTCGCTGTTGTTGTTATAACACTATAATTATTACTAAAGTTTAAGTACCCAAGTTTAGGTTTGGGATCTGTGGCAACGCCAGAAAGTCCGGCGTGACCGATTCTTGGAAAGTCGAGCATCCTAACCCGAGTTGGCGATTAACTGGTGCCGAAGATTTACTTGAAGAGCTCTATTCTACTGACCATTCGTTACAGGCTGTACCCCGCACTGATCAACAGATAGGGAAGAATCCTGCGCGATAACACGCGGTGATCTGTCGTACAAGTGACGGTGAAAAAGTTGAACGAGCTGGGCTACGAAACACTGTCCCATCCACCATACTCATCATATCTCTCGCCTATTGACTGGAACTTCTTCAACCATCTCGGTAACTATCTGTGCTAAAAATGCTTCAGGAACGAAACTGAAGCCAATGCTGCCTTCATTCACGTCATCGTGTCCACAACTATCGGCCCAAGTAAATTTATCTCTTCTTGATAAAAATGTATAAATCCTAATGGTTTCTCCTCCGACTAATAAATTTAGTTGAGCTTCGATACACCATTTAAAAAATACAAAGTAAAATTCGACATTATTTCCTGGAAACTTAAATTATACTTGACATTCATGAAGCCCTTCCAACGATTCATACACCGCCTCATCGTGGATGGGAGGTGTTCCTGGGTGCCGGACTGCGATGTACGGCGGAGGGATTCATCCGCTTGGCGGTGTCTCCTAGGCTGAGTCCGGCGTTTCCATCAGAAAGCCTAGCTAAGAGTAAACCAATACCAGGATCGATCACCGTACTGGTATCAAAATCGCATGGTGGCAAATCTACCTCCGATCCACAAGGGCTGCAACTGCCTGTAGTGATGACGACCTGGGGCAAACTTTGGCCTGCCTGACCTCGGGGCTCCAGGGAATCACAGTGGTTAAACCATCAAAATTCCGAAACAATGAATTTATGCTAAGGTCCGCACAACCAGTGAAGGAGATCCAACTAAGTAACCAAGTAAGTACTAACAGCAAAGTTGTGATAGTAACCTTACAGGTGTCGACATTTATCGACCCAGAGTGAAACCCTATCCGAAATCAGAGCTGGCTAAACAGATTACATTTCGTGATGACACTCTTCAAGATCAATGACTTACTCTAAGGTATTACGGAAATGTGCTTATTTCTATCTTCTATTTCACTTTATGAAAAGTGAGATCATCAAACAAACAATTTCACATTGAAGAAAACCGTGACCTCAGATTTTTATCTAAAACGGGTGGTAGACGAGAAGTATTGTAGTATCGCCTATGGGAAGTGTAATCCACGATGCTAATTGCTTACCTCTCTCTTCCATTCACTCATGAGCAATTCACTCAGTTGAATGGCAGATCGAACGGCAGTGACCCATAAGTTTACCAATCAGAAAAGTGTCTATTTATAGGACGTTTATATAAGACAATAAGCAACGTCATATACAATGGAATAAGATAAAACGTAAATGCGTGTGGTGGTCCCAATTCAGGCTCAGACAAATGGAGCGCTATCAATTTTCTGAGCATCAGTTACAAAACGATTGAATGAAACATGTGTGGCAAAAATACAAAACTTAAAAAACAAATACAGAGAACAGAAAAAACAGAACAATTATGCTAGACTGAACATCAAAATACGAACGCGTTGGAAGATCTGTGTTCAAAGTGTGGTGTAAGTAAAATTCGAGCATAAGTGTAATATGATACAAGCTGTATAAGCAAGGAGTATACAGGAATATGCAATGAAGCATCAAGGAATCGAATCCAGACTAACAACAAGCAGTCCAGCCCGATTTGGCAATTAGCGACGACAGAAAAGGCAGCGACAGATTGAGAGCACAAAACTGGCGACGAAGATTACGGCGATCACGGCCAACACAACGATCACCCATGTCTGAAAGACAAAACAACAATCACCCTATGGTAATGAGTTGAGACCCACTATAAACAGCGCAGAAATTGAACTGAGAAAAATTTAGGAAGTAGATGTGATGAACCGCTTCAAGAGAAACAAAGTGTTCTTTTGTTTAGGTGTTGAAATGCAATGTACAGCGATTGTTCATCCTCCGACACGGTCACTTTAGCCGTCGAGGCCGACTTTTTCACTTCAACAAAAGCGCAGCAGAAGCAAAGCAACACCAAGGATAAGCGAATAAGCGCCTTTCCAGCTATACAGTCAGAACTCACATGAAGACTCCAGCAGTCGCCATGCAGGAGATCAAGCGCACGAGTGCCGACATTTGCCAATTAAACACCAGGCCCAAATTATTTTACAAAAAAACAAAACGTTTTACGAAATCCCCGTGGCGTAGGCTTTGCCACACATCCACTTCTTAATTGTCGATTACCTCGACATTTGTTGCACATTAAAATGAATTATACCCTTTCGATGTATCAGTTAGAAGAAATGATCCACGGGGAAACATCCCTCTGTAAATTTGCACCTCTCAAAAAAGCCACCGACAACTGACAAAACTAAAGTAATGGGACGCCCTTTTGAAATCAGCGGTGTTTTCGGAACCTTGTTATAAAACACTTCCATTTGCCATTCATGGCGTCTTTTTGAGCTGTAAATGACGCATTAAAATCTTTTAAAAATATTCGCTATTTGAGACCCAGAAGATATACTTAAGGAGAAATACGGATAAGGTTCTCATACGGTGTGTTGGATGAACCAGAACGACAGAGTAGAATGAAGCAAGTGTCCTCTGAGACAAATCACCTCTAACATGAGTGGAAGTGTCTGTAAAATGCGGGTTAGCCTACACCAAGCAGTTATATTTGAAAGTACATATGGACGACAGAATGATGCTCTGAAAACATCCTCACCCACGCTGTGGCCTACGGGACTCGCCAAAATGAATCATCGAAAGTTCCAAACTCCAAATAATTACATTCCTATTGTAAACCGGCATTTACAACTTCCGGCATGAATAATCAATGTGCCCTATTTCATCGATAAGCTAGCACGGGGTTGTTTGGTTATTGTTTCAACATGTTCGCCTTCCTCAAAGCCGAAGATCCAAGTCGATGGCCCGCAGTCATTCGTCCTTTCTACGTGGTGTCACCGGGGTCGTGTCGAGTTGAATCTGCAGGATGGATTGTCCATTGAAAAAAAATTACCATCGGAAAATCGCTATCGAAAACAATCGTCGAGTATAAAACAGCATCGTCCGGTGAGGTTGCCTTATTCGAGCAACGTTTCACTGAGGATGAATGAGACGATGACGAAAGACACCATATCAAGTACACGAACAACTGTGGACAATCGACCCGGACCATCGTCTCTGAGAAAGACAAAGACGTCGAGACCTTAGCCGAGTAAATGTTTGGTAGCATCCTCGTATTAGCTTACCAAAAAACACGACCAGTGCGATTGAAATCCTGGTCCTAGCTCTTTTACTGTTCGGTTATGGAAGTGTTTGGATGGGTGGATTGCAGTCAACTTAACCTTTCCAGACTCTGAAGAAGGCGAAATCCACCGAAACGTCAGCTTTTTCATAAGAATAAGGCAACAACCTCGTGCATGCTCATCAACGAACAGTGAACTATTTCAAGAAACGACTAGTTTATGATTAACACAGCTGGTATCGCCCGTCTGCAATGTATTTGCAGTTTTTTAATCTTTTGCACCATACTTCAACCAACCATCTACCACATTTCTAGGAGCCGAAATCTCGCAGATTGAATACACCATAAGGAACCAATATCAACTGCAAGAGTTTGTAGACCGTAAGATTAGTCAGCCAATAACCCAAGATGTTTCAATACTGCCTCATCCATTTATTTATCTATTAAGAAGTCAACGTAGCAGTTTAAGCTGCAGCATGGATTTCCATCAAAACAACAACATGGAAAACTGAAGATTTTGGAAACAAACGGAATGCAGGAAGACCACCGACCCGATGGTCAGAGTTCTTCGCGAAAACCCTAGAAAGATATGATGCTCAACGAGTTCCTAGAGCGACCAGAACCCAATGGGCTCCTCTTGCAGGCAACAGGGAAAAATGGAAGATTTACTGGCACCTGTTCAAGTTACTCGACAATCGACGGGACTCCAGGTGATATGCTTCAGATCATCTCACCAAATGTTCTTTGCCAAAATTTGCACAAGTAGGAGCAAAATGTCGAAAAAAGGGGTTCGAGAAGAGGTGTACCCGTGTGGTGTGCTCTAATTTATCCAATAAATAAATAAACCCTCATAAAACTGTAATGTTTAGGAACACAACTACAGCCACGTCTACCTATTAAGTTTTGGATCACTTTCAAGGGAAATTCGAAAGTACGAAGATGTTTTGGTGGTTACATAAATATACGAGCTCACAAACATTTAGTTGTATAAAATTATTGGCATTGAAATGACAGATTTTAATCATAAAATTAGCTTTTCATTCTTTAAGTTCTCGTAAAGCAACCCATATCCGCAAAACAATCAACCTGGGAGCCATTTACTGCTTTGCAACTAAATTTCTGTTAGGAATATAGCAACGTTGCTTTACTATTTGCTGGAATTCAGACAGAAAACATCGGACTTCCCAGGTTTAGAAACTGCTCTTCTGATGAACTCTGGCCGTATACCATAGCTCAACAACTAGGAGTTCTTGAATTTGAGGTTAGTGTAAAAATTTAAGCGATGTACACCTACGGCTTTTTTGTAGGAAAGACCTGAACTTGCACCATCATCTAAAATTCTGAATATCGAGATAAGTACCTGCAAGTTAAAGCAGCAATCCTTGTTCAAGTCACCACAGCATTTGTAATAGTGGAAAACTGAAGAGCCTGGACATCTTGTGCCAACGATCGGTACCGGACAAAACAGATCTCCATCCTAAAAGCTAATCTTGGAAACGACGAAAAATTTTGAAAAAAAAATTACTTCCTCAGGTGCGTGTGGCGCAGTGGTCGGAGACGCCCTGAAATACACACGTGGAATCTGTCCCCGTTCCCATGGTCCGCCAAGTCTTCCGTCTCTCCGGGGTCAGAAAGTTGGTACCAGACTTGTCTGGGAGGATAGCAGCATTGGCTCGATACATCGGTAGCCCACCGCGAGTCATTGTAAGGCCAGATATGCATTCGAACAGTTCCATACGATGCTTAATGGAGTCGAATGCATGGCGCATCCCTCAGGGATTGAGCAACACCGAAAGCTTTGTAGCTTTATGTCCTATTGTTTGAGATAATCACAACTACTCTAAACCCCTTTTTGGTGCTTACAAATCTAGCAAATTACGCCCTTTAAAATCATGAAATAGAGGAAAAAATCTGGAATAGGGCGAAATACGGACTGAATTCCGCGAATTGTATGAAAAAATGTGGATTAAGATGAACAGGTGACCTAATCCTACTAACATCCCAATTCAATCGTGATGTTTTCCCACACCTCATAATATCTAATTGTAGTAAAAGCTTCAAAGGAAACAATTTCCGAGTTGCTCATGAACCTTTGATTATCGTAAGCTGGGAAAAAGCAGAATAATAGAACTTGTAACTTGCTCGCGAATTTTGTATACTTTGGCTATATTTATTTGTTGTTATTTATATATTTATTTACCCATTTTAGCTTTAGTATTCTCTATATTTAGTTTTCCATCCAACCTCATTCACATAAACCCTTCTTGTGTGAACAAGGGAATGCCCAGAGGTCATACGCGACCTGACCCCGTATGTACGCATCAATTTCTGATGTGGGATGGCGCAGTCATTAACCATATGCGACTATAATCAGCTGTTCTAATCTTCCTCATTGGAAGTCACGTAAAAAGCGGTGAGTTGTTCGAGAAGTTGTTGATCATGTAATTACCAAAGAGTCTTTCGTCTTTGTGTAAGTGTTAATGAATCTTTTGGCCTAGTAGGTTGTATATCAGCATACCCTTCCAAGCTCTGAAGAAGGCGATACTGCCGAAACGTCAGCTAGTGTTGTATTGTATTGTGTTTCTCTATGAAAGTAAATGTATGCTGTTTAAAAACCTCGCGATTGCTGAACAAGAAAACGACGCATTTGTATTCCAAGTATTTCATATCTCACTGTAAAAGAAGCTCTCGGCGTTGACAAATCCTCGAGCGATGCGTCATGCATTCGACTTCATTGAGCATCGTTAGAGGACATTGAATGCATATCTGGGCTACACAATGATTCGCGGTGGCCTACTGAGGTGTCGACCCAGTGCAGGTATCTCCCAGACAAGTCGTGTTCCAATGTGCCGACCCCGAAGGGACAAAAGGATTAGTGAACTAGGGACGCGAGAAAAACCTGTGTGTTAATCACTCAAAAGACCGACTTTCTATAAATTTCGGTAGTCGATATATTTATTTATATGTTCTTATGAACCGATCCTGCTGAGCTGTTGCGAATCCTATGTGTATTGCAGGGTGACTATAACCGCTGCGCAAACGCGCTGCTATTTCACTATATTTCATTTTAATTATATTTCATCATGCAGTCAAGTTGACATAGTTTTTGACAAATCACATCGAACATCATTTATCGATACCTTTACAACTTGTAAAGGAAAAAATGGTGATTCCCATAATATCCCGCAACCCATAATGGTTAAGTACCCCGCTGCGGCGAGGAGCCTAGTACCAGAAATGTGACGCTTATCGAGTCATCTGCAAAAGGAGAATTCGTTGAGTAACTCTCGGACGAACCAGCGCTAGTGATCCGTTTGAGTAACTCAGTGTCTCACGGTATGAGGGACGATAGAGGTAATATTTAAAACTGAAATTCTTCCTCATAAAGTTGTTACTATGGCAGTTATACTCACTTGGATACTTGGATAGCTCGTGTTCACTGGCTGTGTGGGCCCCAGCATAACTTCCATTTTTTTCGGAGTTATGCTGGCTTAACCATTGTCGTTCCCTAGACTCCCGAGGTCAGCCCAATCAAGGTTTTCTCCAGTTCGTCACTACCACTTGCAGTGGCCGTCCTTGTGGATCAGAGGGAGATTTGCCACCATACGACCAGTTTGGTACCAGGACGGTTATGGATCCTCGTAATGGTTTACTCTTAGCTGGGCTTCTTGATGGAAACATCGGACTCCTTCTCAGCTTGGGAGACTTTGCTGAGGGGATGAATCCCCACGCTGTATCTCGCAGCTCGACACCGAGGAACAACTCCGAGTCTCGACGGGGCGGTAAGCCGCTAGGAGAAATTACAGTTATAACTCCAATAAAGCTAGAACTTCGGACATACTTCAGCATAGTTATGTAGGATTTTTCGCACATCTCCAATAACTGGTTACCATTTTGTCACCCTACGAAGAAATTGGTCAATGCCTTACTTACCGTAGGGTTTCGAGGTTTACTTTATCCGAAAAGAAAATGAAGTTACGATCACATCGTTCGACATCCTTCTCGATTCGATGTAAATTGGCGGATAAATGCCAAAAACCCTACAAAGAATAGCAGGGATGAATGCCCGGAGATCATACGCGACCTGATCCCGTACGTTCGCATCGATTTTTGATGTGGGATGGTGCAGTCGTCAACCATATGCGACTATAATCAGCTGTTCTAAACTTCCCCATTGGAAGCCACGTAAGGAGCGGTGAGTTTTTTGAGAAGTTGTTGATCGTGTAATTACCATAGAGTTTTTCGTCTATTTGTAAGTGGTATTGAAGCGTTTGGTCTAGTAGATTGTATATCAGTATACCCTCCCAGGCTCTGAAAAAGGCGATACTGTCGAAACGTCAGCTAGTGTTGTATTGTATTGTGTTTCTCTATGAAAGTAAATGTATGCTGTTAAGAACCTCGCGATTGCTGAACAAGAAAACGACGCATTCATATTCCAATGCCGAGGTTAATAGAAAATCGATCCTGTGAATCATTGCATTTCTTGCATTCGTACAGATTTCTTAATCCTAATTTATGAACGCCTCTGAAATGCGGTGTGTGGTCGCAACTGTTGCTAGATTGCTCTTTCGACTTCTTCATGAATACTTGTGAATACTTATCAAGTTCATTCCCTTTGGAATCTTAGAAATGGCCGGCACTCGCAGGTCGTCACCACAGCCAGTCTACAGCTATTGTGGACTAGAAGTAGCATGCGGATAGTGCGCTTTGTTTGCTCGATGACAATGGAAACAAGGGCTTGGATGTGTTACTCAGCATTACTATCACTAGCCTATCCGTGCCCAATAAACATTATTAGCTATAATACAACCATAGAAATCTAGAAATGTTCATCAATAAGGCGCAATTTTTGAATGAAATTCCTGCTTTCGTATGATACGTGTTCCAAAGAAAGAAGCATTTGAACAAGTGGCATTTCATCCTCCTCGAAAACCAGCATCATCACGAATGCGCTAATGGATGGACTGCTGTAGATAAGTCCCCGTTTCTCCTCATTCGAAGCGTGGCGGTTGTTTTCCGTATTACTCTAGTCATTATACAAACGGATCAAGGATTTGCTTCTAGCCAATTCCTAAAGCAGTGTCATGCATTCGACCTTATTAAACATTATAAAGATGATTAGATGAATATGCAGCCTATTAAACGAATTGCAATGGTCAACTGATGTTTCAAGCAAGTATCTTTAACCTCACGGACGCCTGCTTTCAATTCGCCTACACTGGGGAAATGGAGAACTTGGTGAGTACCGAATCGACGCGCGCAGAATCGAACCGACAATCACGAGTTCATAATTGCACCTTTAATCAATGCGCTACATGTGCGCTATCTATCTATTCGCACTAAGTTCGTTAATGTACTTAGATTTGGCACTATTTCTTGCAGTAACTACTAGTACAACTTAAGTCGAGAAAATCATGAAAAAGGCTAAAAGATTCAATGTGTGTTCGATTAAGCATTTTGGAAGAGAATCTGCAACCTACAAAAACGCCACGTTTAGTCAAAATCGAAAATCACTTGCACTCGCCTTAGTGGTGGTGACTTCGTTGACGGCATTCTTCGTTTCTTGTTGAATATCAGCAGCGAAAACGAAGCCGATAACGACAACGGCAATGGCACAGAGACGGGCAAACATTCTGTAAGGAACCTGATAGAATAAATATGAACTTACATCAGGTTGAGTTCTAAAGGAGTGCACATGAAAAAGGCAATAAATTTATCACTGAAAACACCGTTACTATTTGAAGTCTTAGAGACAACGAGGATGTATAAAAAAGCAAGGAAAAGAAACCCCACACAAACACACACACGCACACACACATACACATACACACACACATACATACATACACACACACAACACACACATGCACACATACATACATATATACACACAACACACACATACACACACATACATACACACACAACACACATGCACACACATACGCACATACATACATACACACACAACACATACATACATACACACACACAACACACATACATACACACACATACATACATACATACATACACACAACACACAAATACACAGACGCATACAAACATACATACACACACAACACACACATACATACATACACACAACACACACATACATACATACACACACAACACATACACATACACATACACACATACATACATATATACATACATACATACACACACATACACACATACACATACACATACACACATACATACATATATACATACATACATACACACACATACACACATACACACACAACACACACACATACATACACACACACATACACACATACGTATAAAAACACAAATTCTCCAAAAACAATAAGTATTTCCAAGTAGTGGATATGCGATAGTGTATCCATGTACGGAGCTGCAAATGCATCTATGTTCAATGTTTAGTAAGAGTTTTTGGCTCGAGAATAAGTCATGAGTTAAAATTCCGGGTATCTG